GCATTATTTGGTTATAAAAATCAGCCTTAATTTAGCACATGGATGAGAACACAAATCAGAGACATCATAGTGTGCAAATAATTGTGGAGGGGATGCACGGTTTGTCATAATTTTACAATTAACACAAGGATGTATATTTCTATGGAAGGAGGATATGTGGTGGTTAGCTTAGGGCAGTGCAACAAAATCCATTGTTGTGCGACCCCCAATTAGCTAACCCAAAACATTTTTTTTATCCTTTGCATATTTGTTTTAAATAAACCTTACTTTTAAAAATTACGTTTAGAAAATTAAATAGGGGTCACAAGACATCTGGACCACCCTGTAATTAATTATCGGCACTCAACAAACTCGCATTGACCAACGTGGTGAAGTATGGTCATGCCCCCCCGTACGTACAGCAGTGGATTTGTAAAATGAGCAGTGCTGGATAGGCACAAACGCATACGGGAATATAAATACTCTTAGGTTTTTTCGGTAAATTTAGCTGACGTTTCCCACCTGATGACGGAGACTTGTGTTGCCTCCGAAACGTCGTGATTTTTTATTTTATTTCTATTATTATTTATATTATTTGATTTTTTTTATTTTTACCTACGTGACTTTACCGAAAAAACCTAAGAGTATGAATCCTTGCAGTCACGAAAGCTTCAAATCTAGAAGGGAATGGAAATGTCAAGTCGGTGGTGGAAATTCCACATTCCTATGACATTATTCACAGAGGTACTATCCAGTCGTATTAATTTTTTATATATATCCACGATGGATAATGGGCTGAGTCGGTTTGGAATACAGTTATTATTTATACAGGTACTATTGTATGATGTTCATATTAAATGTAATGACCACACATTTTACACGTCAAAGTTGTACAAAAGTTACATTTAGCGTTCATTAAAATAAAGTTAATTCAAGTTTTTTAAACATTGAAAGATGTTACTCGTAATATTGTTTATATTTTGCAAACTGATAGATGAATCATGCGAGTAACGTTGTAATTCTCTGTTTAAGTTTTAATCACAGTTTACCTCACGATTATAAACGGTAACCCGCAACGGCACCGTACGCATCGATTAAACGATTCTTGTGTCGAACAATGTATCGATTCTTATCGCAGCTTATAATGCATTAATCGAAAACGAGGATTCGTTATTAGCCGATTAAGATGAATCGATTCCCTAGGAAAGGCGCGGGATCACCCCCCCCCCCACGGGGGCTCGGGTCACGTGACACTTTACAATGAGGAGCGGTGGCGCAGTGATTAGCGCACCGCGCTCTCACCAACACGGCCACCCAAATGAGATTCACGGCCAAGGGGCCGTCCATAAATGACGTCACGCGATTATGGACGATTTTTGACCCCCCCCCTTCGTCATGGCGTCACAAAAAGTCAGACCCCCCTCACATATGACGTCACAAAGCTCTGCCCCCCCCCCCCAAAATAAAACATGCTTCAAATCGATGTAAACTATTGTCATTGTAGTGCGTATTTAATGTGGCACTGCCACATTAAGGAGAAAACATTTTTGTTCAAATTTTCTTGCTGTGGATTTCACACCTGATGATGATTGCTTGTGTTGCAGACGAAGCGTCGTGAGAATTTTTATTGTTTTATATTTTTATTATTTTAACAGGACCCTGCAGGGTGGGCTGGTAGGAACGAATAACCAAAGAATATAAATATAATGTATTATTACACTTGTATAGCCAGGAAAGCCCCACTGAGTCTAAAGGATTTTGTAGGATCCTGCCAAGTGTTTGCAGTAGGGGGCGATGTTGCTACACCTAATCGGACGATACGAAGGGAGAGTTTGAGGCCTACTTCTAGGCTTTAGGCCTAGCTGTAGGCTTTAGGCCGCTGTGAGTTAATTTGTAATTTAAATGTTTTAATTATTAATGTAAAAGCTTTAAATTTAAATGTTTCTATTTAAAAACATCAGGGAATGTAACATTGTTAAACATTAACTCCCTTTCACACATGCGGGTGTACGATACGAAGGGAGAGTTTGAGGCCTAGTTCTAGGCTTTAGGCCTAGCTGTAGGCTTTAGGCCGCTGCGAGTGAATTTTTTATTTAAATGTTTTAATTAAAACCTATCTCAGGGAATAATAAGGGAATGTTACACTTGTTTAGCCAGGAAAGCCTCACTGAGTCTAAAGGCTTTTGTAGGGTCCTGCCAAGTGTTTGCAGTAGGGGGCGATGTTGCTACACGTAATCGGACATCGGACGGACGGACGATATAATCTATAGTAGGCTGGTTCACTTCGTTCCTACCAGTACAGTGATACCTCGGTTCACGAACGCTTCTGTTCACGAACAACTCGGTTCACGAACAGAAAAGTTCATAAAAATATGCTCCGGTTCACGAACTCCGCTTCGGTTCACGAACAGGAGCCACGGCCATTTTAATGCTATTTCCAGGCTGTCACATGGTCGTGACTTCCTGTAGGAAGATCGTGGAGAGAAGAAGAGACACAGAAAGAAGTACTGTGAGTACTGTGAAGACACTTTCAGTGACTTTTTGCTTTTTGGTGTGCTTTTTAGCACATACAGTACTGTACTGTACTACTGTACTGTACAATACTGTACTTACTGTATTGTACAGTTCACCCGTTTGAGTGCTTACTGAAGTCATCTCAAGCAAGGTTAGTGTTCTCTCTTTATACATTACTATACTGTACAGTACTAATGTGTATTGTAATTTGTTTCATATTTTTGTGCTTCAAAAACCAAAAAAAAGGTCAGAACGGATTAACCGTATTTACATTGAACCCTATGGGAAAATGTGCCTCGGTTCACGACCAATTCGGTTCGCGACCAGAGTCAGTTCACGAATTAAGTTCGTGAACCGAGGTATCACTGTATTATTTCCCTTCTACGTGACTTTACCGAAAGAACCAATAATATGAGAAAACATTTATTAAAAGTCGATTTAATTAAGTAGAACGTGTTGTCTATATGTATTTAAAGTTGCGCATTTTTATGTGACGTCACATTTCTCAAACCCCCCCCCCCCCCTTGTCACACATCGTCACAAATGTCTGACCCCCACCCCCCTAGGTGCGTGACGTCATTTATGGACGGCCCCTAACGTATCACCTGTCATACTGCACCAACTTATCCAATCGATTACGCTTACTCATCGGATGACCACGCAACGCAGCAAAACCAATCCAATCCGTCACATTTAATGAACTGACCGCAGCTGGAGCAGTCGGTTATTATGTTATGGTCCATTTAGGTGTTAAGTCGATTTATCTTCCACAGCTTGATTACACGTGACCGCGTTGCTGGGTAGTGATACAGTCATTTTGCTGTGACGGTTCCACCTGAAGACGGAAGCTTGTGTTGCCTCCGAAACGTCGTGATTTAATTTATTGAATTTTTTACCTACGTGACTTTACCGAAAAAAACATAGTGTTATTGTCTAATTGCTTATGCCTCAAAAGTAAAAAAAAAAAGCTATTATTCCCTACAAACTTTGCTTTTGTGATCAGGACACACACGCAAAGTTAGTAATCCACTGCATTCATAACACTGTGTAACAAATATATTTATTTCTTTTTCCTGGGTAGTGTTATTTTCTAATTGCTTTTGCCTCAAACGTGTAGAAAATTTCTATTATTCCCCACAAACTTTTCTTTTTTGACCAGGACAGTGACATTTTAAAATGTACCTATATTCAAAGAGAAAACGTGAGCATTTGTGTCATTGCTTCACAAAGTCCTGGTCACAAAAGCAAAGTTTGTGGGGAATAATAGCCATTTTCTACACTTTTGAGGCATAAGCAATTAGAAAACAACACTTACTACCCAGGAACAAAAATTGTGTTACATCGTGAATTATCCACCTCCACGTGCGTTTAACATTAAACTCAACACGCTCATCAATAACACTCCGTGTGTGGTCTTAAAAGGAGAAAAAATATATAGAATAGGCGACGTTTCGGGCAATGGCCCTTCATCGCAGATAAATAGGCCAGATGGAGTGGATGATGGTAAGCGTTGGAGGCTGCACTTTGTTAACATCACGGGGTCCTAATGAGAATGGCATTGATAATTGGTTTTTTACCCTTCTATCTGGCAACAAAACTTACACCTTTTTACACATGTTTGCATAGACCGCAATACCTGCAGTCATAATACAAACAAAAGACATAACTCTGATAATGTATGCACTGTCCTTGAAGTTGATTAGTCCACACCCGAGACAGCTTTCCTTAGAGCCTAGTCTCACATGGGTTGGACCAGATGACGCCAAAACGGTGTCAGTTTTGTTGCCAGATAGAAGGGTAAAAAACCAATTATCATATTTTTACTGGCAAATGAGGTCCCCATGGTGAGAATGACATTGTCAAACTGTTTCCCGACAAACAGTTTGTTAAATATCCACATATTTACATAATTATTAGTAGCTATTGAGTAAGGCGAACCTGTTACTAAGTAAACACATTTTTGTATTGGTAAATTACTATACTACGAGAGAAACTCACTAAAACTGTCTCATCATATATGTGCTACGAGGAAGGGCCATTGTCCGAAACGTCGCCTGTCCAGTGTTGCCCTTTAAATGCCGATGCACGTGATTGATTCAGTATAATCACGTGACATAGAGTCACGTGGAGGGTGGCGGTTGCAAATAAAGCCATCTTACCACGGGACCGCGGCAACGTCACAGCGATCCGCTTCCGCCATCTTACCACGGGGGGGGGGGGGGGGGGACCGCGGCAACGTTACAGCGATTCACTTCCGCCATCTTACTACGGGAAATGCCCTGACGTCTTCAGGAGTTTCTCCCCCCCGCCGCCTTAAACGGCTGGCGGCCATATTGGGTGAGGTTGGGGGGGGGGACCCGGCGTCCAATCCCGCGCGCTCTCGCCCAACGTCAACAGCCCCGGATCGAAGAGCACGTGACGTGAGGGGGGGGGGTGTGTCTCGACCAATCGCGTGCCGCCGCAGTGTGGAAGGGGATTGAGAAGTCGCCCCCCCCCCCGCCCCCCCCATCACGGAGTCGACCGCCGCCCCCCGCAAACCGCCCGGGTCCTGCCGGGGGTCTCCCCTCGTCCACCCCTCGTCCACCACCTTGTCCACCACCACCGCCGCTTCTGTCTCTAGGCCATGGCGGACCGCAAGATCAACGAGGCGCTGGAGCATCTGGCGAGCGCGGAGAAGTGGTGCGGAGGGAGGGAGGGTGACTGAGTCACCCGCGTGTGACTGGCGGTGACTGATCCTGTGGAGCCGATAGTGACTGAGCCTGACTGTCGGTGTCTGTCCGTGTGTGACTGTCAGTGACTGTCGGTGTGTGACTGTCAGTGACGCTGTCTGTGTGACTGACAGTGGCTGATCTTGTGGAAGCGATAGTGACTGAGCCTGGGTGACTGTCAGTATCTGTCGGTGTGTGACTGTCATTGACGCGGTCTGTGTGACTGACAGTGGCTGATCTTGTGGAAGCGATAGTGACTGATCCTGGGTGACTGTCAGTGTCTGTCGGTGTCTGTCGGTGTGTGACTGTCATTGACGCTTCCTGTGTGACTGATGCTGACTGATCCTGTGGAACCCATAGTGACTGATTCTGACTGTCAGTGACTGATTCCGTGGAGCCGATAGTGACTGAGCCTGACTGTCGGTGTCTGTCGGTGTGTGACTGTCAGTGGTTGATCCCGTGGAGCCGATAGTGACTGATCTGACTGTCAGTGACTGTCCGTGTGTGACTGTCAGTGACGCTGTCTGTGTGACTGACAGTGGCTGATCCCGTGGAGCCGATAGTGACTGAGCCTGACTGTCAGTGACTGTCCGTGTGTGACTGTCAGTGACGCTGTCTGTGTGACTGACAGTGGCTGATCCCGTGGAGCCGATAGTGACTGAGCCTGACTGTCGGTGTCTGTCGGTGTGTGACTGTCAGTGACGCTGTCTGTGTGACTGACAGTGGTTGATCTTGTAGAAGCGATAGTGACTGATGTAACTGTCAGTGACTCTCCGTGTTATTGATCCCGTGGAGCCGATAGTGACTGAGCCTGTCTGTCAGTGATGCTTCCTGCGTGACTGACACTGACTGATCTTGTGGAAGCGATAGTGACTGATCCTGGGTGACTGTCAGTGACTGTCAGTGTCTGTCGGTGTGTGACTGTCATTGACGCTTCCTGTGTGACTGATGCTGACTGATCCTGTGGAACCCATAGTGACTGATTCTGACTGTCAGTGACTGATCCCGTGGAGCCGATAGTGACTGAGCCTGACTGTCAGTGACTCTCCGTGTGTGACTGTCATTGACGCAGTCTGTGTGACTGACAGTGGCTGATCTTGTGGAAGCGATAGTGACTAATCCTGGATGACTGTCGGTATCTGTCGGTGTGTGACTGTCAGTGACGCTGTCTGTGTGACTGACAGTGGCTGATCTTGTGGAAGCGATAGTGACTGATCCTGGATGACTGTCGGTGATGCTTCCCGCGTGATTGATGCTGTGGAGCCGATAGTGACTGAGCCTGGGTGACTGTCAGTGACTGTCAGTGTCTGTCGGTGTGTGACTGTCATTGACGCGGTCTGTGTGACTGACAGTGGTTGATCTTGTGGAAGCGATAGTGACTGATCCTGGGTGATTGTCAGTGTCTGTCGGTGTGTGACTGTCGGTGTGCGACTGTCGGTGTGTGACTGACAGTGGTTGATCTTGTGGAAGCGATAGTGACTGATCGGACTGTCAGTGACTGATCCTAGGTGACTGTCAGTGACGCTGTATATGTGACTGTCAGTGACTGACCCCGCGTAACCAATAGTCACTCTGCCTGTATGACTGAGTGATTGCCCTTTGTAACTGATAGTGATTGTTGCTGTGTGACTGACATTCCCTATGTGACTCAATGACTGTGTGACTGATAGTGACTGATCTTGTGTAACAGCAACTGACCCTATGTGACTGACCCTATGTGACTGACCCTATATGACTGACCCTGTGTGACTAACCCTATATGACTGACCCTATGTGACTGACCCTATATGACTGACCCTATGTGACTGCCTGTAACTGACCCTGTGTGAGTGACAGTGGCTGATAGTGAGTTCCCCCGTGTGACTGATTGTGTCTGTCACAGTCACGTAACGGCGACTGTCCCCGTGCGGGAGAGTATTTCCATACCCGGCACACCACATCCAGTATGACATTTCGCTATGGCTGTGGCAACCGGTCACTTGCCACCTACAGGAATATGTTCAGTGAGAAAACACATTCCTGCGGAGGGAGCTGGTAGGAACGTTGGGTTGCTCGGTCAATAGCCAGGGTCAACGGCGGCGTGGTGTATTCCGCAAATATGCCCGACTGTGAGGGCGGGCACAAGCCGGTGTGAGTAGGTTAAACGTTGAGTTTTATAAGGGCACCACGGGGTGACCAGCCCCTCCCACCCAGCCCCACCCTCCCCACTCAGCCCCTCCCCACCCTCCCCTCTCCAACCAGCCCCACCCCTCCCATTTTTGGATGCACGACGGACGGACACAATAATCCCCTGTGGGCTGGTGTAACCAGGAGGTTCCTACCAGTATTACTCCCTTCTGGCTTGACCTACGTGATTGCCCTTGGCCGGCCATGACATGATGTCCATAGTTGACCTGTGACCCCCTGTAACCCCATGACCCCCCCTACCCCTTGTTCCTTAGTCTCAAGACTGGATTCCTCAAGTGGAAGCCGGACTACGACGGAGCCGCTTCAGAGTTCAGCAAAGCAGGTGGTAACCTGACCCCTATATCCGACCTCAACTCGTGACCTACGGTGGCGAGATGTTAGCTACCTTACCTGATCATACAAGGGGGTCGTGGTTCGATCCTGACCCCAACGACCTACTGTATGTTTACAATTTGCATGTTTATCTCCCCGTGGTCGCATGGATTTTCTCTGGGTCCCTCCAGTTTTCCCCCTACACATGTAGAATCAACGTGGCGTTCAGAGTATTTGGCTGCTATAAATGTCCACGTGATAAGCCACTTCGTTGAGTTATCATTTGTGGCCAGGTCGCTGCTGAAAAAGAGTTGTACAGCTCAGTGCGCCTTACCTGGCAAAACCAAAATATAGTTTTTTACACTATGAGACCTCCTTTACCAGTGGCAAAATATAGTAGTAGTGCACTGTTTTTGAGTTGTATGCCTTTTGGCGTCATCTGGTCCAACACTATGTGAGACTAGGCTCTAAGGAAAGCTGTCTCGGGTGTGGACCAATCAACTTCAAGGACAGTGCATATCATTACCATTATCAGAGTTGTTTATTTTTGTTTGCATTTTGACTGCTTGTGTTGCGGTTATTGCAAACATGATGCCTTGTATAAAGGTGTCAGTTTTGTACCAGTTTAAAGGGTAAAAACCTACTACAAAATATAGTTGTTTTTTTACCCATATTTCTGACCTCGACCCCTGCCTGACGCAAACCTCTGACCTCTACGCCTGATCCAAACCCTTGACGCAGACACCTACATTGACTGCTGACATCAACCACTGCCAAGGGTTGTTAACTGATAATCTGCATAGCTGTAATCGATTATTTTCACAATCGATTGCCGATTCCAAAAGTCAGATTTCCATAATTGGAGATTGATTTTTAGGAGGAAGAGGCACACGCGATATGGCCGCACATTGACTTAACTGTTGTGTACCCATTCATACCACTGGGTGAACAGGCGGTGGGGTGGGTGGATTTAAGAAACTTGCACCATTGTTTCTACTGGACATGTGTGAAAACTACTGGACATCTGTGAAAAAAGAGCGTCATAGCTCATGTAATTTCTCCAGTATAAATTTTCAGCTTTTCTAATTCTGCTTCAACTTTCACTTCCTCGTGCGCCGTACCGGCTTTCATAGGTGCTCGCCAACAGCAGTTCCCCCCCCTCCCCATACAGCCTCTATAGACTACATGGGGATCTGTCTGTGTGTGTACACGTGTGTTCTATTACTCGTGGGGAGCGGTAGTGCAGCGGTTAGCGCGCTGCGCTACGAAATCGGCAACCCGGGATCAATTCCCGCTCTCGGGAAATACCAGTGACGATTATCTAAACTGGTCCTGGGCCTCCCCTAGGTCTACTCAGCCTCAAATGAGTACCTGGTGCGGTGTGTGAACATCGCCACTGGGGAGACGAAGGCGGTCGGGCGTGGTGCTGACCACCCACCCCCTCATGTACCTTTCAACAGTCTGTTACAGACTCTACGGGAGATCGTTGTCTTTGTCCTCCGAGTGTGTAATTGTGTTTGTGTTCTTGTGTGTGTGTGTGTCTCAGCGGTGGCGTTTAAGAACGCCAAGCAGTACGATCAGGCCAAGGAGGCCTACCTCAAGGAGGCGCAGTCCCACAAATTCAACCAAGCGTATCCTGCTCGGCCCGGTGGCCACAACCCTCGCTCGCGCTGATGGGAGTGGTAACCCACCCCTCCACCCCCTCCCCCCGCCCTCGCTCACCAATAACCCTTCTCCACTGGTCTTGTGGTTGTTGTTGTTTGACTTGCATCCCACTGGGATATTTGCACAGGGTTGGTGTACGGTGATTTTTTCTGCAATATTTTGCTGTCTTTTCTTGGATTTTCTGTTTGCACATATTCACTTTAATATGTTTTCTTGTTCATGTTTTGTTTTTTGTTTGTTGCGGTTGCACCCGATTCAAGAGCCGAATGGCTCACAGGGCTATACCTAATAAATGAACTTTGAACTTTGAATCTGCGCCATGTCAGCACGCAGTTGGCACGGCATGGGTGACTTTTCACCGCTGGCCGTTTGCAGAGCCGAGCCAGAACCGAGCCGTGCTACGCTGGCCTCACAAGGCATCTTGTGACGTACAATGTAAACAGAGCGTCGACACGTCAACTTCACGTGTCTTCCAGTCACGTGTGACGTTGATGGCACAGCGAGGCTTCGTGCAGTGGAAAAAAGCCACTCGTCCCTCCTGACCCGTGCCAGCTTAATACATTTATATCAAATGATATTGTTCGTTAAGTGCATTCCTATACGTGAACCTTCATCCTTAACCTCACCTCTCAGGCTCTTCCACTCGGCAAAGTAAGTATCCACTTCGGACGCTCAACATGCTGCCTGCTACTCACGCTGCGGTCAAAGCTCTCATCACCTGATATGTGGCAGAACCCGAGTTCAAGTACGGGGTCGCAGGTGGACTCGGACAATCACGAGCAGCCCCCGCAGTCATATAAAAATTAACCCGTAAAAACGTTTTTCACTATAAATCCTTTATATGCGTGGCATCGGTTTTATTTTATTATTCATTTCTGTTTTTCTTGAGTAAGAGTTTCATTTTTATCACATTGGTATTCTAAATTAAATATGAAAACTTTTTTTCCTAAAAAGTGGAAAATTTTGGAAAAAAAATTTTCAAGAAAATAAATTGTCACGCACAACGAGTCTGTGTGCAAAATGTCAGCTCGATTGGATCACGGGAAGTGGGTTAAAAAACGACCGAAAGATTTGCACGGTTGTAAGCGCGCAAGCAAGCAAGCAAGTGAACTTAATATAAAGAATTTAAAAAGCTCAACCTTTCGACCAATGCACCTACAGCAAATTAACATGCCAATTTGTAACATTGCCTCAAACTTACTGGAATGATACGGTCAGAGTTTAAACCACCGGTCCAGAGTTTGCTTGTCTTGAAACAATGCGCCTAAAACTATGCTTTGCCAAAAAGGCCGTCGTGTAAGATTGGGTCGTGTAAGAAATTAATTTTTTGATGCGGATAGACGGATTTGTGAAGGATGCATTGTTGTTATATTCCCGACAACGACAGGAACGATGATTTGTATAACAATCCGGCCGGGTGGCCCAGTGGTGGAGTGAGTGGCTCGCAGTCGGAATGTCGCGAGTTCAAACCCTGTTTGGGTGTGGGGTTGGCTCAATCCATCATAGAATGTGTGGGTGTGTGCCGGGGGGTGGGGTCAGAAAAAACATGGAATAGAGGAGAGAGAGCAATGCTGTGGGACAGCCCTGAGCCAGCACCAACCACAACAGCAACAGCAACAACGACAAGACCCAGGGGCAGCCTGGACAGCACAAACACAGGGGCAGCTGGGACAGCAGCAACAACAACAAGACCTAGGGTAGCCAGCGCAGCACCAACAATATCAACGAGACATTGGGGCAGACAGGGCAGCAACAGCCCAGCACCAACAACAGCAGACCCCAGGGGCAGCCCAGGTTAGCACCAGGGCATTTTTAGGAGGCCGATGACTAAACGAGTTACCAGGGTTTAAAGCTTTCGTGACTGCAGGGATTCATCTTCTTGGTTCTTTCGGTCAAGTCACGTAGAAGGGAAATAATCCGACAGACCTGTTCTTCACCTGAGGACGGCTGCTTGCGTTGTGGCCGAAACGTCGCGAGAATGATTTTATTATGTTTTATTTTTATTACTTTATTATTTCCCTTCTACGTGACTTTACCGAAAGAACCAAGAAGATGAGTTACTAGGGCTCGTGATGCACGCGCGGAGTCGATGTTTACGTCGATGGAAATTGAAGTTCACATCAAACGCCTGTAGTACGCCTCTCGCACATGTGGGTATGGAGCATCTGAGCCATAAACTCAAGGGCAAGGTGGAGGAATATGAGGACAGATTGCACTCCCCCCCCCTTCATACCACACCTGAAATTAGCTAGCTGGATGGAGGAGCGGGAGACGGGGACCGACGACAAGGCGTATAGCCCCTTGCCACCAGACAGGAGACGGGCTCGGAGGGGTGGAAGGGAAGTACGGACGCTCATTAGCCGCCTTTTATGTTTATTTTATTTGAGGGTCATTTGGTTATACCCCCCTTCATTTCCTTGTCACCCGTCCCTTAAATACCTACCTCACCCCCACCGCGGCGCCCCAGCTTGTTCGGGGCAGCGGCTCCGCTCCCCCTCCTCCTACCCCCCCCTCCCTCCCCACTCTCTTTAACCGGGTTAACTCGCGCCATCGTGATCGAACGCGCGACGCGCTGCAACGGGTAACGTGTAATTGCCCCAAAAGGAACAGTTTTGTTTTTCTAAATCGCACCAAAAAAAAAACCCCGCCAGCGTCGCATTCTAAGCTCTCGCGGCGACCCCACCACGGCCACACCAGCCGAGACGGGAAATAATCGCGCGGCGAACGACACGAGGCGAGGAAATGGCTCTTCACGCGGGATCGCGGCGCCGAATCGCAAATGTTTATCTGGTCGGCGGCGTGTAGTTGTTAATGGCTGCGGTGAACACCGACGCCTGTTGATTGTGTGCTTGTGCGTCTCGTCGCAGGGCGTACGAACAGGCGGGGATGATGCTGAAGGTAACGACGCCCGTGTGTGTGCGTGAGTGCTTGCGTGGGAGAGCGGTGGCGCAATGGTTGGCGCACTGCGCTACGAACCCGCTGAGCCGAGATTGCCGCTCGCGGCCGACATCGGTGGTGAACACCCGAACCGGTGCTGAGCCTTCCTTAGATCGACTCAGCCTTAAATGAGTAGCTGATGCAATGTGTACAACATCAGCATTGGGGAGACAAAGGCGGTCGGGCGTCGTGCTGACCACCCACCCCCTTCGTGTGCCGCGTTTGTGCCGGCCGTCATAGCTGCCACTCGCCAACAGTGCTTGCCCCAACAGTCTGTTGAAGGGGGATGTTTGTCTTTAGTATTGCGCGTGTGCACATGCGCGTGCGTGCGCGTGGCAGGAGATGCAGCGTCTGCCCGAGGCCGTGGACCTGATTGAGCGTGCGAGCACCATGTACCTGGAGAACGGCACGCCGGACACTGCCGCCATCGCGCTGGAGCGCGCCGGCAAGTACGGCTTGCAGGCTGCACGCACACACGCACGCAGCCGAGACGCACACACACACGTGCACACACGTGCACACACACGTGCACACGCAGCCGAAACACACACACACGTGCACGCGCACACACACATGCACACATAGCCAGGATACACGCACACAGCCGAGACACGCACACACACACGTGCACGCACACACACACATGCACACATAGCCAGGATGCACGCACACAGCCGAGACATGCACGCACACAGCCGAGACACGCACACACACGTGCACACACACGTGCACACATAGCCAGGATACAAACACACGTGCACACACACGTGCACACACATGTGCACACATAGCCAGGATATACACACACACAGCCGGCATACAGCCAGGGTATTCTCACACACAGCCAGTATACAGCTGGGCATACTCACACAGTCACATGCAGCCGGCATACAACCGGTTCTACAGCCAGGAAACACACACACGGCCAGGATACAGCCACACAGCTGAGATACACACACACAGGTGGGACATACTCGCGCACAGCCGGGCTACGGCTGGGTTACGCCACACACATCTGGGTGGTTACTCATAGCACACGGCTGGGCTTCACTCACGCGCACACACACTGGACGGCCGGGATACACTACACGTGACCTCTGACCCCCAGGCTGGTGGAGACTGTGAATCTGGACAAGGCCATCGAGCTGTTCCGGGCTGCAGGGGCGGTGTACGAGGTGAGGGGTGAGGGGTCAAGAGATGGGGTGAGGGGTGAAGTGATGGGGTGAGGAGAGGAATGAATGGTGAGGGGTGTCGAGAGAGGGGGGGGGGGATGTGGGGTGCGGTAGAGTGGGTGAAGTGTCTGTGTTAGACCGGGGATGTGCCAGTTGGAGGTCGTGACCCCGCGTGACCCCCCCCCCCCACGTGACCCCCCCCCGCACGTGACCCCCCCCCCCCCCCCCGCGTGCCCCCCCCCCCCCCCCCCCCGCGTGTCCATCTCTTGTCAGAATGAGGAGAGGATGCGCCAAGCTGCAGAAATGTTGGACCGGATCTCGCGGCTCCTGGTGCGAGGAGGGAGGTACACGTGAACACAAAGACAAAGAGATCCCCCCCCCACATAGCCTTTAGCAGACTGTTGGGGCAAGGGCTTTTTGCGAGTGCCGATTAACGCCTGCACGACACATGAAGGGGTGGGTAGCCAGCTCCCCATCCGACGCGCAGACATACAAAGACAAAGATCCCCAATGCTGCTGTTTACACAGCACACCAGGTAATTATTTGAGGCCGAGTCGACCTAGGAGAGGCCCAGGACCGGTTCAGATATTCGTCACCGATGTTGGCCTGTGAAGCAGGAATCGAACTCGGTTTGCTGCACACACACACACACGTACACACGTATACACAAGAACAACACCAGCCGCCATTCGCCACTAATCACCACGGCGCCTGTACCAGGCTAGGTGTACTTTAAGGCTATCACCCGAAGTTTAAAAGGTTCGCTGGTGGCAGGAGGTCTTGGGGACAGACCCCCAGGTGCCATGGGTTGATTGAGATGACTGGTTGATGTACCACCTGTGCCCCCAACGCGTACAACCACCCCTGCAAACACGCATATACACGTGTACACATGTCCACACATACGTTCAAACATGTACACAGACATGCGCACGTACGCACATGCCCACGAGCGTGCAATGTACACATCCGTTGCATATGTCTGAACCTGTGCAACCCTATGCCTCCGTGTCTCTGCGCCCCCATGTCTTTATTTCACTATGGTCCTGTTTCACCGTACAACCGTTGTCCTATAACTATGTGTTCCCATGTCCCCCTGTGTGTGTCCTGTGTCCGCTGTATCCCCACGTCCCCTTGCGTCCGTGCTCCCCGCGTCTCCTTGTCCAGGCTGGACGAGGCGGTTGTGTCTCTGCAAAAGGAGAAGCTCATGTGTCGCGACCTTGAGAATTACGCCACCTGCAACAAGGTGGCTGTCTCCCTCCCTCCCTCCATTCCACCCCCACTCATTTCACACCTTTTCCCCCCACCCCAGAGTTCGCAATCGGGTTCCCGATACCCGTACCCTACCCGATACCCGGCTACCCGTACCCGGCTGGGTACGGGTACCCGTTTGCGACCCTGGTGCGGCCGGGTACGGGTACGGGTAGGCCGTGAGTCACTGGTGAGTAACCGTTTGTCACTCATTTCCCAACGTCTTGTCTCTTTTCACAATTCAAGTTCCTAGAATCAACCCACCCGCGCCTGCAACATGGCTTCATCCCAGAGGTCGCAATCAGGTACCCGATACCCGTACCCTACCCGATACCCGGCCGGTTACGGGTAGCCGGGTATCGGGTAGGGTACGGGTACCCGTTTGCGACCGTGGTGTGGCCGGGTACGGGTAAGGAATCAAAACCCGTTTGTGACCTCTGCCCCACCCTCCCTCCCTCCCTCGAGTCTCGAGATGATTTTCAACGGGGTCTTGCTGCGTTGGGATATTTGGCCGTGTATTGAATTCTATTCGTGAGAGTTTATCTTTGTGTGGGAGGAAACCGGAGAACCGGGAGAAAGCTCACCGTGCCTTGTGGTGATGTTGCGGTGACGGTGATGTTGTGGTGATGCTATGGAGATGCTGCGGTGATGTTGCGGCGGTGCTTTAGCGATCCTGCGTTGATGTTGATGTTGTGGTGATGCTATGGAGATGCTGCGGTGATGTTGCCGTGGTGCTTTGGCGATCCTGCGTTGATGCTGCAGTGATGCGACAGCGATGATGCGGTGATGCTGATGTTGTGGTGATGCTATGGAGATGCGGCGGTGATGTTGCGGTGGTGCTTTGGTGATCCAGCGGTGATGTTGATGTTGTGGCGATGCTACGGAGATGCTGCGGTGATGGTGATGTTGTGGTGATGCTGCGGCGACGTTGTGGTGATGTTGCGATGCGTGGCTGTGCCGTCACAGAAAACCATCTCCCAGGTGCTGGTTCACCTGCACCGCAACGACTACGTCGCGGCGGAGAAGTGCGTGCGGGAGAGCTACAGGTGAGCAGATGAAATACAGACGGCACCGTGTAGACGGAACACCGTGTAGATGGAACACCGTGCAGACGGAACACCGTACAAGCCGCACCATACAGACCGCACCCTACAGATCGCATCCTACAGACCGCATCCTACAGACCGCACTTCACAAAGGGCACCCTACAGAGGGTCGGGCGTGGTGCTGGCCACCCACCCCCTCGTGTGCCGCGTCGGCCTTCGTAGGTGCTATTCGCGACCTTTGTCTTTGTGGCGCAGCATCCCGGGCTTCACGGCGAGCGAGGACTGTGCGGCGCTGGAGCAGCTGCTGGAGGCGTTCGACCAGCAGGACCCCGACGCCGTCTTCGCCGTGTGTAGCTCCCCGCTCTTCAAGTACATGGACAACGACGTGCGTCACGCACACGCAGCGCACACAGTGCACACGGCAGCACACATGCAGCACATTCGCAGTACGCGCGTCAAAGACGCACACACAGCAACGTACACAGCGCACACACACACGCGCACACGCAGCGCACGCAGCGCACACGCAGCGCATGCAGCGCACACACGCACACGCAGCACACACAACGCACGCAGCGCACACACGCAGCACACGCAGCGCACGCAGCGCGCACACGCAGCGCACACGCGCACGCAGCACGCACACGGCAGCACACATGCAGCACATTCGCAGTACGCGCGTCAAAGACACACGCACAGCAACGTACACAGCGCACACACGCGCACGGCAGCACACGCGCACACACGCACGCACACGCGCACGGCAGCACACATGCAGCACATTCGCAGTACGCGCGTACTAGACGCACGGCACGTGGGGCACATACGCAGCACATTCTTCACTCACAGTACACGCGCAAGCACACACACGGACACGCAGTACACACGCACGGCACGCGGGACACACGCACACACAGGGTTCACACGCACAGCACTTGCACGCCGGTGGTGGTGCAAGTAATGATGATGGTGCTAATGCTGGCTGTAGTGAGGGTGTGGTTGATGGGGGGAGGGTGATGGTGGTCGTGGTGGTGGCAGGAGTGTTGATGGTGGTTTGGTGGTGGTAATGACGATGGTGCTGTTAGTTGTTGTAAGTCCGGTGATGGCGATAGCGGTGGTGGTGACGGGCTTGGCGATGACAACGATGTTGATGGTAGCGTTGATTGTGGTGGTGGTGGTAGTGGCGATGGCAACGATGCTGATGGTAGCAATGATGGTGGTGGTGGTGGTGGCGATGGCAACGATGCTGATGGTAGCGATGATGGTGGTGGTGGCGATGGCAACGATGTTGATGGTAGCGATGATGGTGGTGACGGGCGTGGCGATGGCAACGATGTTGATGGTAGCGATGGTGGTGGTAGTGGCGATGGCAACGATGCTGATGGTAGCGATGATGGTGGTGGTGGCGATGATGGTGGTGGTGGCGATAATGGTGGTGGTGGCAATGATGATGGTGGTGGTGGCGATGATGGTGGTGGCGATGGGTGTTTGACGTTGGGTGACGTGTGCACACAGTACACCAAGCTGGCGCGGAGTCTGCAAGTGGTGGGGGTGCCGTCCAAGAGGAAAGTGGAGTCTCCACTGGCCGGGTCCGGGGGGGGCGATGGGCCCCAGGCGGGGGCCACCTCCCCCGGCGGGGGGGGCGAGGAGGACGATGAGTATGCGGGGGGGCTCTGCTGAACGTACACGCATGAACACGCACGCACGCACAAACACACGGACATATACGCGCACACACACACGCACGCGCGCAAACTTACATCCGTACACACGTGCAAGATCATCCCCCTGTTTAGCGTTGAACAGATTGTTGGTGCTGTTACAATGCACAGTGGGGTGGGGCGGCTAAGATCAACGCCCGGTCACCTTTGTCTCCCCCCAGTGCTGATGTTTTACACACCGCACCAGGTACTCTAGCAAGGCCGAGTCGACCTAGGGGAGGCCCAGGACCGGTTGAGATATTCGCTGTCACTGTTAAGGGCCGTGAGCGGGAACCGAACTCAGGTCGCCGAGTTCGCAGCCCAGTGTGCTAACCGCTGCGCCACCGCTCCCATCGTCACTAATTGCACATACACACACGCACACAGAAAGACTAAATGCTGTTCGCGAGCATCGATGAAGGTCCTATACAGCGCTATAGACACACACACATATACACACACACGCACATATGTATACAAAGTACATATGAACACAAAAACAAAGAAAAAGATCCCCTGTATAGCCTTTAACAGACTGTTGGAGCAAGTGCTGTTAGCGAGTAGCACCTATGAAGGCCGACACGGCACACGAGGCACACAGACAAATAAACAACCACATGGACTACATTTCAACACTCATTCGCTGCTCGTTTTTATTTTATTTTGGGGGGGAGGGGGCAGGGTGGGGAGGAAATGTGAGGTGACGTGCTATTGCACCCACCATATCACGCCTGGCCCACGTGGGTTCCTCTTTATGACTGTGTTGCGATTAACTAAAATAATAATAAGAAGAAGTAGAATATTTATCATCCTTATTGCTGGTATAGAAAACCCCTGTGTCGTGGTGCCACCGTGCCAAGTGGTTTTTGTTCCGTGGACCCTCTGATGGCAAGGCCGAACCTTCGCCTGCCAGCCTGCTTAGCGGTGACGTCACAAGGGGGGGCCCCTAATTTCCGGTCCATGCGGCGGCGGCGGCGTCATCGATGATTCACAAATCGGTGCGTCGAGTGGGGGGTCGCCGGGGTTTTATTGGGGGGGGGGGGGGGCCCCCCGCGATTTTTCTCGTTCGATACGATTCCGCGCCGATTCCGTGCCGATCCCATCGTCCGCTTGGCCGCATTGTCGTCGTGTCGTTGTGGTTGTTCTCTCGTTTACTTTCGTAATTGTTTCACTTGCTGATCAAAAAAAAAAAGCACGATTGAAATTGCAAACGCGAAAAATCGTTTGTTATTTTTCGGATTCGTTTTATTTTCTTTCAGGCGGGAAGCCACGCAGCGACCTGTCCGTATTTGCGTCTTGCTAACGTGTGTTTGTTACGGTATGTTGAACTTCCTTCGCGCCGTACGTAGCCAACCGTGCAAATCGGAGGTGCGGGGAAGGGCCGACAAGTTAAACACACACACACAAAAAACGTCACAACGTTTCGTCGTTACGACGTTTCGACGGTGTCTGCACCGCGTGGGTGGTCATGGTGGTGCGACGCGCAACACCAAGGGCAACACCAATCCAGGAGAGGCACGTGGCAAGGGTGTAAGGATACTTCAATGTAAACCCAACAGCTTCCTTACGTAAATGGGAAAACCCACCGCCAGTGTCGCCCGTTTAATGTGCGCACACGCAGACACAGATTCCCATTTAACAGCCTTCAAGTGCTGTTAGCGAACACCTATAAAGGTCGGCACGGCGCACGAGGGGGTGGGTGGCCAGCACCACACCCCCCACTACTGATGATTTACACACAGCACCAGGTACTCATTTGAAGCCCAGTCGACTGAGGGGAGGCCCAGGAGCGGCTTAAATATTCGCCACCGTTATTTCTCGTGAGCTGGTATCGAACTCGGGTCCGCTGGGTTCCGAGCGCAGCGTACTAACTGCTGCACCACCCCTCTGCGAGGTCGAATGTCCCTAAGCTCTATTCCTAGCCCTATTCCCAAATTATCATGGTTTCAGCTCACGGTGTACGTGGGAGAACGATTCTCTCACAATAAAATATTTGGCACGTCCGACGCTCGTACGCGTGACAATTGAATTTGACAATATAATCTGTGTCGGGTGGTGGAGGATCTTGCGACACAAATTTGAGCAGGTCATTACGTAACCCCGAAAATAAATTACGAATTGCGATGTTGGCTACGAAATCGTACGTTGTGAACGATGATTGAAGGTCCAAATAAACAGCTGTTATTTAAATTCAAGTCAAAAGTAATTTCCTGGCTCAAATGCGCATGCATTGATGTGGCTTTAATTCTGTTTACAGCCCTGAGCTAGAGATCGAAATTCCACGTCCTTATGGTGGGAGGCGAATCTGTCCATAGGACAACTTCATTTTATCAACCCCAGACAGCTGATGATTCAGCTGTGTCGGGTGGAGGAGGGGTGTACGACACAACATTGGCATTGTACAGAGGGATCGCAATACGATGCAATGGTTTACATTTAAGCTTCCTCTTCTCCTATAATGCGGTGGTTACGTTCCTGAAGAACACCGCGCTGTGGAAAAAAGCGTTATAAATAATATATTATGTCGGGTAAAGCACAGACGTGAGATGCATACGCAGGCTGAACAATGACAGCCCTCGTGGGTAGCATCTAGAAGCATCCAGCAGCATCCCACCTTGTGTGATGCTACGCTGAAGGCAGCCGTACTACCGCTTATACACGCGTGACGTAGATCTGTTCACTAAATTTGCGTTATAAAAAGATGCATTCCCCAATACAATTGTCGCGTTATATCCAAATCGCATTATCAAAACACGCGTTGTAGGAGAACAGACCGTACCGCCATGGGAGATTGCTGCTATCATCGTCATCATTGTGGGACTCAATATCGTATCGTATTGTGAAGAATCCTTATCGCGGCGACCCCAGTTGTAAGTGAAGCAGACATTTGTTGTTAATGTGATTTCCCCCCCCCCCCCCCGAATGTGTTCACGCGTTCTACCCTGACGGAATAAACATCGACCCGCTGCTTGTGTCATCATCAATCGTCGTCAGCCACGGTCAGTCCACTGCTGGACGGAGGCCTCCCCAAGTCCGCCTCTCGCGATTCTGCAGTGTAGCAATCCGCCCAGGAACTTTCCTGCACCTACGAGCTGATTTTAGTTATCGCTCCATCTCCCCGGTGGGCGTGCTTTCTCCGGGACACGTTCCATTGCTTGTCTGCTGCTCAGTTTGTTGTCCTTGCCCCGCACCTGCGATCGGCACGGTTGGCTACGTACGGTGCGAAAGAAGTTCAAGATACAGGGACTCCTCTACTTACAAACGAGTTCGGTTCCCAGAGGCCTGTTCGTAAGTCCAACTATACTCCCGTCGATTCGAAACATTGTACGGCATGTGCACTAAACACGGGGAATGGTTTTATAAGTTAAATTTCGATTTAAAGCTTTCGTGACTGCAGGGATTCATCTTCTTGGTTCTTTCGGTAAAGTCACGTAGAATGGAAATAATAAAATAATAAAAATAAAACATCATAAAATAATTCTCACGACGTTTCGGCCACAACGCAAGCAGCCGTCCTCAGGTGGAGAGCAGGTCTGTCGGAAAGACAGCGTCTGTCAGACCTGTTCTTCACCTGAAGACGGCTGCTTGCGTTGTGGCCGAAACGTCATGATAATTTTTTTTTATGTTTTATTTTTATTATTTCCCTTCTACGTGACTTTACCGAAAGTACCAAGAAGATGAATCCCTGCAGTCACGAAAGCTTTAAATCGAAACATTAGCATGATGTTAATGTGAGAAATTAGCATGTAAAAGTAAGCTAGGAGAGCGGCCTCCTCGACGAGGGCACGGAAGTGGCTATGTTTTCCATAATTGAGTTTTTTTTTAATCCTTTATATTAAGTTCGCTTGCTTGCTTAGGACCGTGCAAATCTTTCGGTCGTTTTTTAACCCACTTCCCGTGATCCAATCGAGCTGACATTTTGCGCACAGACTCGTTGTGCGTGACAATGCATTTTAGTGAAAAAAAAATTCCAAAATTTTACACTGTTTAGGGGAAATTTTTTAAATATTTAATTACCAATTGTTTAATGCTGCCAGACAATCATCTGACCCATAGGTGGCAGCCATCTCAAGCCAGAGGACGAGAGGACTCTAGCCGCCCCGATGCCACGCATATAAAGGATTTATAGTGAAAAACAGTTTTTACAGGTTATTTTTTTTTTGGGTTAGATCGCGTAAATGTAAATGTGTTGTTAAACCCGCCACCAGCCGACACGGCCAATTAGTAGGGTTTGAGTCACGTAAACAGAACGTGGCCCAGGCGTTACTCATGTAATGATTACTTGACACACTTCTCTTGAGATGGCACTTTACTGTAGACACGTTCACACACCCCCCACTGCAACAGCCCCGAGTCTCCCGCGCATCTCCCTTTTATACCGACCGAGGCCACGCCCCCCTTCTCGATCATTCTCGCTATGACAATAGTTTAAAGCGATTTGAAGCATGTTTTTGGGGGGGCAGAGCTTTGTGACGTCATATTTGAGGGGGGGTCTGACTTTGTGACGCCGTGTGACGATGGGGGGGGGGGTCAAAAATCGTCCAAAATCGCGTGACGTCATTTATGGACGGCCCCTTAAACTGACAGATGCTTTTGTTTTCATTAACTCGACGACCAAAGACGGAGGCTGTTTGGTGGTCCCACACCGACCAATCGATTCAAACAAAAATCCATCGCGTGATTACGCAACCGCACCGCGGTGACGTCACGAAGCCATCGCGTGCGCGGTGACGTCGACCGAGACAAGAAAACGTTGCACGGGTGCTGTGACGTCACCGAGACAACGTTTTACGGGCGCGATGACGTCACCGAGACAAAAAACGTTCCAAACACGGTAGCGATGACGTCATCAAGACAACGTTTCACACAGACGGTCGCGATGACGTAAGCGAGACAAAAACGTTCCACACAGTCGCGTGACGTCACCGAGACAAAAAAGTTACACACGGGCGCGATGACGTCACCGTGTTAATAAACGTTCCACACACACACAGTCGCGTTGACGTCACCGAGACAAAAACGTTCCACACACACACACACAGTTGCGTGACGTCACCGAGACAAAAAAGTTACACACGGACGCGATGACGTCACCGAGTCAATAAACGTTCCACACACACACACGGTCGCGTGACGTCACGAGATATCGCCCTTCCCAGATTTCCCAGCGCGGATAGGCGACTAGAGCGCCACCCGATGCCTCGCTGCGATTGGTCCGCAGCCGCGCACGTGACCTTCATGGGGGTGGCGGGGGGTGGCGGGGGGTGGCGGGGGTGGCGGGGGTGGCGGGGGTGGCGCTTCCCACGCCGACCGCGGCGCCTGTGCGGGCTACGAAATGTAACGCGCGCGGGACATCCCCCACCCCGCCTACCCCCAAGAACCGGGTTAGCTGACGGGAGAGAGACCGGAACGGGGTCCCCCCTCACAGGATCGGGGGTACAAGCGGCCAGGATCGGGGGTACAAGCGGCCAGGATCGGGGGTACAAGCGGCCAGGATCGGGGGTACAAGCGGCCAGGATCGGGGGTACAAGCGGCCAGGATCGGGGGTACAAGCGGCCAGGATCGGGGGTACAAGCGGCTAAGATCGGGGGTACAAGCGGCCAGGATCGGGGGTACAAGGGGCTAGGATCGGGGGTACAAGGTGCCAGGATCGGGGGTACAAGCGGCCAGGATCGGGGGTACAAGGGGCTAGGATCAGGGGTACAAGGGGCGAGGATCGGGGGTACAATTGGCCAGGATCGGGGGTACAAGGGGCTAGGATCGGGGGTACAAGGGGCCAGGATCGGCAGACGGGGGGGGGGGATCAGGACCGGGACCCCCAGGACCCCCAAGATCGCAGGGTGATCAGGAATCTCTCGGAAAGAATCGATCTTGCTCCCGGAACACGCAGGGGACGATACCTCACCACGCTGGTCAGTGCGGGGTGGACCCCCCCTCCTCCTCCTACCCCCCCAGTCAATCGGACCCCTTCGACCCCAGGATTAGGAATTACCAAGACCCCCCAGGATCCCATAGGCCCCCCAGAATCAGGCCCCCGTCCCCCACGACAGGGATTCTAGGAGCAGGTTGACGACCTTAGAACGCTCAGACCCCCAGGGCCGGGATTCTATGACCTATAACCCCATTGATTAGGAGGACCCTTGGTCCAGGTCAAGGGTCAAGGACCCCCCCCCCCAGGATTCTCGTTATCCTAAAGTCTCCAGGAGTAGGACCCCAAGACCGGGGTTCTAAGACCCCCCAGACGCAAAGGGGACCAGGCTGCTAGGGCTGTTCCCAGGTCCCCTAGGGCTCCCGATGACCCGGGTTCAGCACCAGGACCCAGTTTCTAGTCTCTAAAGTCCTGGGCCGAGCTGACAGTCCTCGACCAGGGAGATATTGAGCGCGAATTCGCAGTCCACGGCTCATTGGGTTCGAGATCTCGGTTACTGGTCCCCACTCCCAGGTTACCCCCCCCCCCCCCCCCCACCAAGTCCCATAGTCGTTAATCTCAGTCCTTAGCTGGTCCCAGTCTCTCTCCGTCCTCGAGTTCCCAGTCCTCCTCGCCACCCCGCGAAGTTGTCTTCTCCCTCCCTTTGATTCCCGAACCCCGCGCTCGCCATGGCGACCCGGAGTCTAACCGAGGCTTTCGTGCTGATGCGGAATAACGCGATGCACACGAGACACGTGCTGGCCGAGCAAGTGAGTAGCACCACCACCAACACCTCCACCACCTCCACCACCTCCTTCTCATCCCCGGCCGCGGCGCGACGCCGCGCCTCGGTGAGTCGCCCCGTCCCGCCAGTTGCAGACTCACGAACTACTACCCCCCCTCCCCCCCCACTGGGGGACTTGACACTCCCTCAGTGGGGGATGGGGGGGACTCACCCCCCCCCCAGTGTGGGACCCCCTCCCCCCATTGTGAGACCCCCCCCCCTCAGTTGACTCACTCCCCCAGTGTGGGACTCACACCCCCCAGTTGACTCACTCCCCCATTGTGGGACCCCCCCCCCCCCTCAGTTGACTCACTCCCCCAGTGTGGGACCACCCCCCCTCTCAGTGGACTCCCCCATTGTGGAACCCCCCCCCCTCAGTTGACTCACTCCCCCATTGTGGGACCCCCCCCCCTCAGTTGACTCACTCCCCCCATTGTGGCACCTCCCCCCCCCCAAGTTGTGGACTCACTCTCCCTCAGTGTGGGACCATTCCCCCGCCCACACCCCCAGTTGCGGACTCGCCATCCCCCGGTTGTGGGATCACTCCCCCACTGGTGGACTCATTGCCCTAGTGGGGGACTCTTTGCCCCACTGGTGGACTCATTGCCCCACTGGTGGACTCATTGCCCCACTGGTGGACTCACACCTCCAGTGGTGGACTGACTCCCCTAGTGGTGGACTCATTGCCCCAGTGGGGGACGACTCTCGCGAACCACGGCGGCGTGGAGGAGACTCGAGTCGGCTTCTCTCGAGCGGTGTCGGGGTTTTGTTTGTCGTTGTGGTATCGCTCTTATCTGCCTCGAGTAAAACTCGACACATTCGTCACAGTTAAAACCGTGTGTGTGTTTCCGTGGCCTTGAAAACGAAATAATATACAGGGACTCCTCTACTTACGAGCGTTCGACTTACGAACTTTCAGAGATAGGAACAAACCTGTCTGTATGTCCAGTTGTCTGTTCGGACCGAGTGTTTTTTTAAGAGAGTTGAGAGGAAACACGAGCGCCAAAGGGAATTACCATCTACGTCTGCGGAACATGAAGAACCAGTGGCATCTACATCTGCAGAACATGAAGAACCCGTGGCATCTACATCTGCAGAACATGAAGAACCCGTGGCATCTACATCTGCAGAACGTGAAGAACTAGTGGCATCTACATCTGCAGAACATGAAGAACCCGTGACATCTACGTCTGCGGAACATGAAGAACCAGTGGCATCTACATCTGCAGAACATGAAGAACCCGTGGCATCTACGTCTGGGGAACATGAAGAACC